ATTGTTTGCCATGGTGTCTTCCACGTGTTTTGACATGTCATAGTGTTACCGTAAATTAATATGACACGTCATGCGATTTTTAACGGAGGGACCAAGTCGGGGTTAAAATGGTAAACAGTAGGGACCAAGTCAGGGATTTTTTGAGTTGAGGGACTTAATCGGGGGTCCGTACGATAGTTGAGGGACCAAAAAGGGGGTTTAACCTTAACTTTTTCAATCCTTATACTCTCACCTTATCTTTCGCTGCATATGGTGCATCATGCTTTAGTTCTATAGTTATTTTTGGGCCTGCCTCATCTTGTCTCTCACACTTTTTGAATGTGTGATTTGCTGTAATCTTTAGTTTATTCTTGTTCTGAAAAGCTGACCACAGTCTAATAATATCTTCATTTTCAATTCGGAGTGCTTGTGTGCAAATGATGGATGAGTATGGTCAAGTACAGCTGGATAGATAGCTTGGTCCTTTCGTTTTATGATTTAGAATCGGGTTTAAAGTTGGCTGCGGATTTATTATACCTACTAATGACTTTGCTAGATGAGCACAACAGATTATTTCCTTTTGATCTCCAAATTCAGAAAAAGGCTACTTTTCTTGCAGCAATTTCTTATATCATTATAGAAAATCCAACTTTACAATAATACCTGCTGTTCTGAATTTCTAGTCTGTTGAAGTAGTATGTTCCCTTGTGAGTGTGAAGAGTCAAAATCCCACATCAAAGAAATATAGAAGGAAAGGAGAAAGAGTGGCTTATATATATGAAGATCTATGGAACTAATAAATTAGTTTTTTGGTTCCAATGTAGTGTCAAAACGTATAATGAGCCATTCAATGTTGCCCAGCTAAGCCGTATGTCTTCCCTACAAATGGTATCAGAGCCAATAGCATAACACAGCCAGTGGTCATTTCAGTCTTGAGTTGGGCTATGTTATGTAAACCCATGAAAAGTATACTTATGGATGATGTTGTGCCCATGAAAAGGAGGAGTGTTGAAGTAGTTTGCTCCTTTGTGAGTGTGAAGAGTCAAGATAAATCTTTTGGTTCCAATGTAGTATCAAAACATGTAATGAGCCATAGAATGTTATCCCGCTAAGCCTTATGTCTCCCCTACATACTCTTTTTTCAAAAGAGCTTTGAATCCGGGCTAAGATTCTTTCAATATTTTAGGCTAGATTTTGGGGTGTTTCCTTATCATAAAAATTGTAATCTTTTAACATATAATAACAGGTATATCACTAACTTGTTAAATTTTTGGAATAATGTTTAGACTATTATGTTGATGTTTTTGTAAGCATCTACGAGTACTTGATTCAAATTCGAGCAGCCAGGAATTGCTCGGTAGAAGTAAATGATTAAAATTTTCTTTTAAACTATTTGCAAGATTGGAGAAGTTGTATGTGTGTGTAAGGCATTACATTGATTGTGAAGAATTAAAAGTAGACATGATAGCTAGTTACAAAATTTTACAGGAGAAAAAGTGCTTGTAGTAGATGCTAGGAATGATAACATAACCTTGATTATTGAAGTTGTAATTGTTTGCCCTTATTGTCCTAGGAATGAGAATGAGTAATTTTTACTCATCTGCAGCTGAGAAGCTATCTTCATTATGTCTGCCTCACATAGGTATTCATTATAATCTCTAAGGGAGACATGGAACGGAACTTCTTCATAAGCGTAGTCAATATGAGGATTGACAGCATTCATAACAGAGTCATCTCCTCTCTGCAGTTCCATTGCAAGCTATAATTGTTGGGATTTTTTGTCAAAGAAAATGGAAAGAATTTCAGGAGGAAGATGATGAAGAGCAGAACACATAAAATGGAGAGAAGTATATGACTTCAACGTAGAAATATCATTGATATTTTGCAATATTTATAGCAAAAACAACATAATAAAAAATAATTTTCTCACCTAATATTTTACCCAATGCAAGAAAATCTATCAAACATTTAAAACAAGATTACATTCAAAAGATTTGCTGCCATTTTACAGCCCATGTGCAGCTTCATGCTATTGTCAGTTTGTTGCTATTGTACAGTCATGTTGCAGCTCTCACGTCTTTCAATTTGCTCCCACTGTTGCAGCTTTGACACCACAACTCTAACACTCCTCCTTGGTGTTAAAGTTGTAAAATCAAAACAAAAATAGATTTATACCTAAGCACCTGGGATCAACCCTTTGTTGCCCATCTTGTGCTTGCTTTTCACATTTTTCTCCAGAGTCAAGTACCATCCTTCTCACACAACCTCATTTCCTCCTTCATTACAGCTTTCCTTCTTTGGATTTTGTTGCCTCAAACACATTTTGGAGGTTTTGTAACTAAGTTGCATTTTTTGTGTAAATAAAACAAGGATTTTGGTACCTCAAAGTGCTGCTTCATCATCTTCTACATCTTGTACAGCTTTCTTGGGCTAAAGACTTGGCTACTCGATCATGAAAATGACTTGATGCAATGTTGAGTACTATCATGGTCCCAATCTGCACCTTCACAAGCCATCCTTGCCTTTTTGGACTAATGCTGTAGCATAAAACACCACCCACACCAGCAACATAAAACATCATCAAACCAACATTTTTTGATCTTGCTTCTTGCAAATCTTCTGCCTCAAGAAGATTGAAGGACATTAAGTTAACCTTCAACTTCACAGCTTCACATACTCTCTTCTGCCTTAACAAATTGGTTGCATCCTTTTATCAACCACTTTCAAAGATTGAAGGACCTAAAGTTAACCTTCATAATCACAACATCTTTGCTGCATTTTTGGTCAGAGGAGTTTGCTATGTTGGGTCAAAAAAAAAAAATTTTGAAAGAAGAACTTGCTGGAAACTATTTGGGTTTGGCCGGAGTTTATGGTGGTAGATTTCTCTCAAATCACTCTCATACAAGCCCTCAAAGATCATGAAAGGCTCTGATACCATTTTCATGTTTTTCACAAAGAAAAATGGAGAGAACATCGGTAGGAAGATGAAGAGCAGAACCCAACTAAAAAAGGAGAGAAAACTAGGAGGAGCATAAACGAAAATGGAGAAGAAGTATATTACTTCAACTCATAAATATCATTGATATTTTGCTATATTTATAGCAAAAACAACATAATAAAAAAATAATTTCTTCCTAATATTTTACCTAATGCAAGAAAATCTATCAAACATTTAAAACAAGATTACATTCAAAAGATTTGCTACCATTTTGCAGCCCATGTGCAGCTTCATGCTATTGTTAGTTTGCTGCTACTGTGCAGTCATGTTGCAGCTCTCACATCTTTCAATTTGCTCCCACTGCTGTAGCTTTGACACCACAACTCTAACACTAATGTCACCTCTACTTCTCCCATTGTTGGCCGTTCACTGGCCTTTGGATGAATGCAACTGAATGCAATCTCCAGGAATTCTATCAAACACACTGGTGCTATCTTCCCTTTCAGATATGGATCAATGATATCATGAATACTACCAGCTTTGGAGCATTTATAGATCTAGGAAACCATATTCCCTTCTTTTATGATATGCTCATATGCCTATGTACCACACAATACTTCAAACAGAACAACAACAAATGAGAATACGTTGCATTTTTCACTGAGTTCCCCATTCATCATATACTTTGGAGCCATATAACAAAAAGTACCTGCAACCCTTGAGTTCGTCTTTGTCAAAACCTTTGGCTTTGACGTGCTAGGAGGAACCATCTTGGATACTCGGAAATTAGCAAGCTTAGCTACCCAGTTCTTGTCCAGAATAATATTGGAGCTCTTCACATTACGGTGGATTAGATATACTTTGCACCTGTGTAAAGGTAATGTATGTTGGAGTTGTGGTGTTCAAGCTACCAAAGTAGTAGCAAATGGAAAGATGTGAGAGCTGCAACATGACAGCACAGTAGCAGCAAAGTGACAGCACAATGGAGCTTCACATGCGCTACAAGAAATGGCAGCAAACTTTATCATTTTAGTCAATGTTTAAGATAGTTAATAATTATTGTATTAGGTAAAAAATATTATTATTTTATGTGTAGCCTTCCTCTATAAGAAGGAAGGAAGAAATTGAGTGAAAATTGAGAGAAAGAGAGCATGGTTTCTCCTCTCCGGTTGGGTGACTGTACGCACCCTTCCATGTTTATGGCTTTTATGTTCTAAGTTCTGCTCATTTTTTTCTCTGTTTTTTCTCTCCATTTTTCTTTTGTGCAAAAACGTTACATGGTATCAGAGCCTTTCATGATCTTTGAGGGCCTGTGTGAGAGAGATTTGAGGGAAATAGACCACCACAAACTCCGACTAAACCCAAATTGTTGCCAGCAAGTTTTTTCTTTCAAAATACCCTTTTTTTTCTGACCCAACATAGCGAACTCCTCTGACCAAAAATGCAGCAAAGATGCTGTGATGATGAAGGTTACCTTTACGTCCTTCAATCTTTGAAAGTGGTTGATAACCAATTTGTTAAGGCAGAAGAGAGTATGTGAAGCTGTGAAGTTGAAGGTTAACTTAATGTCCTTCAATCTTCTTGAGGCAGAAGATCTGCAAGAAGCAAGATCAAAAAATGCTGGTTTGATGATATTTTATGTTACTGGTATGGGTGGTGTTTTATGCTACAACATTAGTCCAAAAAGGCAAGGATGGCTTGTGAAGGTGCAAGTTGGGACCAAAAGAGTACTCACCATTGCATCAAGTCATTTTCATGACCGAGTAGCCAAATCTTTAGCCCAAGGAAGCTGTAGAAGATGAAAAAGATGATGAAGCAGCACTTTGAGGTACCAAAATCCTTGTTTTTATTAACTCAGAAAATGCAACTTAGTTGCAAAACCTCCAAAATTTGTTTGAGGTAGCAAAATCCAAAGAAGGAAAGCTGCAATGAAAGAGGAGCTGAGGTTGTTTGAGAAGGATGGTACATGGCTGTGATGAAAAAAAAAATGGTGAAAACCAAGCACAACATGGACAGCAAAGGGCTAATCCTAGGTGCTTAGACATAAATCTATTTTTGTTTTGATTTTACAGCTTTAACACCGAGGAGGAGTGTTGGAGTTGTGGTGTTCAAGCTGCCAAAGTAGCAGCAAATGGAAAGACGTGAGCGCTGCAACATGACTGCACAGTAGCAGCAAAGTGATAGCACAATGGAGTTTCACATGCGCTACAAGAATTGGCAGCAAATTTCATCATTTTAGTCAATGTTTAAGATAGTTAATAATTATTGTATTAGGTAGAAAATATTATTATTTTATGTGTAGCCTTCCTCTATAAAAAGGAAGGAAGAAATTGAGTGAAATTTGAGAGAAAGAGAGCATGGTTTCTCCTCTCCGGTTGGGTGACTGTACGCACCCTTCCATGTTTATGGCTTTTATGTTGTATGTCATGTTCTAAGTTCTGCTCATTTTTCTCTCTGTTTTTTCTCTCCATTTTTCTTTTGTGCAAAAACGTTACAATGTAATCCACGTGCTGCTTCAATGCATATTTCTAGCCTCTGCTTCCATGGAAGTGGATCACCTCCCTTATGAAGATGATCACGCAGTGCTCCATGGTTCAGATATTCATACACAAGCATCCTCTCATCTTTCTCTTTACAAAAGCTGAAGAGACGCACAAGATTTTGATGGCGCAGCTGGCTGAGCAACTGCAACTCAGTTCTGAACTCTTCAGCTCCATAGGGTTTGACAGCAACAGTTAGGGCCCCTCATGAAGAAGCCCTTCGTATTCTTTGCCAAAACCAAGTTGACATCTTATTAAATCATCATGAAAGTTGTTTGTGGCAGCTTGGAGCTCAGCAAGTGAAAATTGACGACATAGTTCCTCTGGAAGTGCTGAAGGTTGTCTCCTAATGGTAGCAGATTTTGCTTTTCTTGCCCTTACTCGGGATTTTGCTTCAACTGATGTTTTCTTAAGAAATTTGAAGAAAATTTGAAGAGAGATCATCAAGGAAGGTGAGGGAGAACAATTCTGCATCTCATTGGATACAGTCATACCTCATCTCGGTGGCTCACTGATTTGACTTCTTCATCCCTTGTTGGTTTTGACTTTTGATTTCTTCGATTTCTCAAAGTTACTCAATCTGACTTCTTCATCCCATATTGGATACAACTGTTATCTTCTTGGCGTAGAGGAGTTTCTGAGGTCATTTCTAGTTGTCTTTTGCTGATAAGTCATGAAATTCTCTAGCTTTTCTCTTCTTAGTGCAGGTTACTTTCTTGGAGGTATCTTGCCCATCAACATTATAACAACTTTCATTCTAACAAGAGGTGAAGGAAAATGATGCAGATGGAATTTTCACTGCAAAGTTACCTACTCTAAACAAAAATTATTTACTTTTCACAAAGGGAATTAGAACCTAAAAAAAATCACTCACACCAGTGCTTAAATTCACTAGAATTTGATCCAAGAAGTAGAAGACAACTACATGGCAGGTGCTGTGGTACCTTTTCCTATGGAAAGGTTTGTGTATCCTCCTGATTGAGGAAGTCATGCTGTTGTGGAGCATGCTGGATTGACTCCAGCAGATGCAAACTGAGCTAAGACTGATGCAGTGCTTTCTAAGAAGTAGAGAAGAGGCATGATGGAGACGAAAGTGTTCGGAGTTGGGTTTCAGAAATAAGAGAAGTTGCTTACTACATTGAGGCTGTTATTCAAAGTTTTCCTCGAATCTGTACACAAGAACGGAGGAATCCATTATCCACCATCAAAGGCACAGTAGTTTCACAACCTGGAGGATGATATCAAAATTAACCAAACTTTTAATTGTTGGAAACATTATTAGAAATGTGGCATTCAAACTTGCAAAATGATGAAATGAAACAGCCATGAAATGACAGCAATGAGGCTGAAAATTGACAGCAAATGAAACTGCAATTTGATAGCAAATATGGCAGCAACTTTGGCAACTCTGCAGCCTCTTTGCAGCCTTTCATGTGCATTTGCATTTCATGTGCATTTCATTTGCTGTTCATTGCAGCCTCATCTTCATCAACATTTGCAGCTTAGCTTGCTGCACATTTTTGTTGTCATTTGGCAGCTTCAATTTCACCATATTTGCAGCTAAATTGCTGCACTTTGCTGCTACCGTCCTATTGGTGCAGCTCTCCCTTCTTCATTTGCTGCCATTTTGTGCAGCCTTTCATTTTCACTTGCTGCTACTTGGCAGCTCGAACACCACAACTCCAACAATTTCATGGCAGTTTCAATTCATTATTTCTGTAGATTTGAATGCCACGTTTCTAGCAATAATTCCAACATCTTTTACTTGTTTTAGATGTACTTTAATTGTTGTTTTTTTAATGTAAAAGAGTTGCTTAGACAAACTAAGAAGCTTTTTTAATTGTTTTTAGATTGTTTTCTGCTATATAAGGCAAAGTTAGTTAATGAGAAATCTGAGTTGGAGTGTTATACTCCTCTCCATTTTAGTTTATTATATTCTGCTCTTCGGCTCCTTCCAGATTTTCTCTCCATTTATTTGTGAAAAAAACCAAAAAACGAAAGATAGAAAAAAACCAAAAAACAAAAGAAAAAAAAAAATCAACATTCATTACATGATTTTTGGTCATTCGAAGCTGAGCAATTGCAGGAAGCCAACAACTGGAGTCATATTATCAAACCGTATTCAGGCATTTGACTGGTAGGATCAGTTAGTAAAACTGATTCAAATCACCATAAAACTCAAGAGATAATCTTGAGAAGCATGCAATAAGAAGAACAAAATAACATAAACTGAGCTAAAGATGATGCTCAGGTTTTTCCATTGATTTCTAGACGTTTTTCATCAATACAGACTTGTTTTGTATGTACTAGTCTTTTACATTCACCTACTACCTTTGAATAATAATACATAAACCCCAAAACAAGGAGCATGTTACATGGATACAATTAAAGTAAAGCCATGAACTGAGATGAAATACTTAACATCAAAGATACAAGAAGATCTCATTTGAAAATCAACAAAGAAACTTCTCAGCAACTTAATGAAACTGAACTGGACATGAACAGTGATGTGAACAATAACCTTGCTGCACTATTTCATTAGTCTTCAACATGGCCAAAAAAATTTTGTCTTCACCATCTGAAGTATGGATTGCAATTCCAAAACTAGAAGTACAGCACGCTGAGAACTTACAATTCCATGTCCTTCTCTCAGCTTCCTTCCTGGACACAACCAATATCCTGTTTCTGTCAGTATTCTCATTTAATCCTGTCACTGATTTTAACTTGGAATTAATATCAATGAACACATCAGCCTTGAATCTCAGTATGCACAAGCACCAAAAAAGCAGTTGTTAAATTCAGATGGTCAAGCTTCTGGTCACTATGGTAAAAACTACGAAGGTTTAAGGTTTGTGAAAATACCTTCGAGTTCACAATCACTACAAGACTGCAATGTAAAAACTTCATTTCCAGAAGGAAATTCTTTTGTTCAGGAAATTATCATACAGATTTGTGTGTTTCAGAATGCAGTCCAGAAATAGAGGTCAATAGAGAATTTTGCAGCTGAAATAATAATCGAGAAAAATGAAAAGAAAAAAAATTCATAAAGATATATACATGTCACCTCTACATCTACTGCAGATTTTGAGCTGTTAAGGTTTCTATCACCATTTTATGAGGAACTAATCCTGGGGAACATTTTTATGTAAAAAGCTCTTGCAGAACTAGCATGTCATACAGCTGA